AATGGGTGTAGGTGTGTGATATCTGTTCATCCTCACCAACACAAAAACTCAGGCACACATCGACACTTCACACCCTTGAAATACCCTAGATATCGTGATAGCTATAACCCACTCTCAACATGGACAAGCGACGAGCAACTCAAATCTTAAAAAGAAAAGATATCTTTTATTTTGATAAGATATATAAAAGTGTGTGCGAATGAGTTATCTTTTTCATTTTTAATGGAAACAAAAAAAAATACCTCAAGAATTTTTTTCTATTCTTTCATTAAGTAGACAAAGATTTATTTGAGTTAAAACCCAAATAAATTTCAAAAGAATAGAACAATGCTTCAACAATTATTATACATTTTTCTTATTATATTTATTTCATCATCGAATTCAAATCGTCTTTCATTAATTGGTAATAATTGGACAATAACTAATAATATAAATCATACAGCACAAGGTACTATACCTGGTACAATTCATACAATACTTTTTGCTGCCAAACAAATTCCTGAACCCTATTTAGATTATAATGATCTTGATTTACGTTATTTGATCTATAATAACTGGACATTTACAAAAAAATTTGATTTATTCTCTGATTTTCTTGCTTCAAATCAAATTACAATACATTTGGAACAAATTGATACTGTTGCTGCAATAACAATAAACAATTGTCTTATTGGTAGAACTAATAGTATGTTCATATCTTATACATTTCATGTTGCTAATTCATGTTTAAAATTTGATAATGAAATTTCTGTTGATTTTGAATCTCCCGTTCTTTATGCATTAAAACAAGCAAATACATATAATGATACAGTACCACCAGATTGTCCACCATCAGTTGTACGTGGTGAATGTTACGTACAATTTATTCGAAAAGAACCATCATCATTTGGTTGGGGTTTTGTAAGTATTGAACTAAAGCATAAAACGAACATGTTCATATAGACAAGCAATTAAATATTTTCTTTGTGCGGATAGATTGAAATTCTATCTTTCAGCTTGAGGGTACAATCAGGCATAATAATAAAAATGATTATTAAATTCTAGTTTGAAATTTTGAATAGAGAAAAATCTTATAGAGAATAGTTTATTGTAACAGTTCGAGATGTTTTTCTCTAAAATAAAGTAATTCAATCTATTGGTATGAAAAAAAATAGTATAAATGACAAGCTATTATCATTGGTAGAATATAGGAGATGAATAAGACACTTATAAGAAAGCTTTCATGAGTGAATTTTGAAGTTTGAAGTTCGTTTCAGGATAATGCATTATTCAATAACATTTAAGTGATGTGCATAGTCTCGTTGATTAGTTATGAAGCTTCTTGATTAAATTGTTCTAAGTCATAAAGCATTTCATCACTCGTTTCTGCCTTTACAGATGGATTAATAGTCGAAATAGATAAGGAGAAAAAACGAGACTTCAGAAGTACGTACTTTAAAAACTTTGAAATAGATGAAGTTTTAATTTTTCTTTGGACATAGGTCATTGAGATTGTTTCTGTGTGCTTGTCATGTTTATCTTGAGTTGTCAATAAAAATACACATCGTAGAGTTTTTAACCTAGACACATAAAGAGAAAACTTTCATAAATATTCGAACAAACCTTTGGATCTGCGCTAACAAGCTTTTCTTAATTTTTTTTGTCCGACAATTACTTCCTACACTAAAGCAATAAAGGTTTTCTCTACATATATATGCATAACTTACAAAGTTTCATGTAAGAGCAGTTTTTCTATGTCCACTAAAATATGATTATAATTTCATTGCTTAAAAAAACAAAAATCTCAATACTGTGATTAATATGATAACTAAACAAGCGAATACATCTGCTTGAAACTTCGTCTCAATTTTTCACAGTTATTACTGTTCTAAAAATCGAATTTATCTTCATACTATAATCAGTATACAGATTTCTCGACTAACATTTTAATACTTATTATATTTTGTAACTGTCTGATATAAGTCATTTAACCTTGATCAAATAAATTGTTATTCGCATGTATTGTACTCGTTCCTATTAGTACATATTTGTAATATAAATAGTTTCAATAATATTATACAAATATATGAAAAAATTGCTTTTCTTTTTAGGGTCCAACTTTCGCTCCTATTGGTATAACAGGTGACATATATCTTGAGGCAGTAAATACAACTGAAATAGTTATTCAACTTGAAAGTGTTAATGTTGCTTCCTATAATGTAAAAACTAAATCATGGCAAGTTGATGTTCTATTAAGTAGTAATAATGATCAATTCGAGAGTAAAATAAAATTTATCTTAGAAAATACAACATGGTCATATGAAACACTTGTCATATTTAATCATAATCTATCAATTACTGTATCAATATCTGATGAACTTATTTCACGTTGGTGGCCAAATGGATATGGTAATCAATCATTATATAATTTTGTTGTTTTCAATCAAGAAAAAGTAATTGACTCACGTTTAATTGGTTTTTGTACTGTTCAATTAGTTCAAAATAAATATAGAACAGGAATAAATGGAACATCATTTTATTTTGTTATTAATTCTCAATCTATATTTATTAAAGGAAGTAATTGGATACCATCAGATTCATTTCAAGAACGTGTCAGTGATGAAAAATATGAACGTTTACTTCGTTCAGCTCAATTAGCTAATATGAATATGATACGTGTTTGGGGTGGTGGAATTTATGAACGAAATTCATTTTATGAACTAGCCGATCGTTTAGGTATTATGTTATGGCATGATTTTATGTTTGCATGTAGTCTGTAAGTTTATTTTAAACAAAAATAATTCTTAATTTAAATCAAATATTTTTAAAAAATTTAGTTATCCTGTTAATGATGAATTTTTAAAAAATGTTCATGATGAAGTTATTTATCAAGTTAAACGACTTCAATCACATCCATCGATTGTCCTTTGGTTTGGTAATAATGAAAATGAAGCTGTTATTGCAGAAAATTGGTATAATGTATCGCAAGAAAAAATGAATAAAACAAAAGATGATTATAGAAAATTATATATTCATACTGTTATGAATGCTATTCAACAAGTTGATCAAGGAAATAATCGACCATTTGTTAGTTCATCACCATCGAATGGACTTGAAACAATAGCTGAAAATTATATTGCTCGCGATCCTGAAGATTCGCTCTATGGTATATACATAGGAATAGAGTTCGATCTGTTTTGTTTTCAAGAAAAATTATATTTCCTATAGGTGATGTTCATTTTTATGGATATTAGGTTGATACATGGGATCCAACAACATATCCAATAGTACGTTTTATGTCGGAAACAGGTATTCAATCATTGCCAAGTCTAGATTCATGGTTTGAAGCTACAAGGAATATATCGAACTTATATTTTAATAGTTCGTTTATTCAAAATCGTGAACGTTTCCCTAATCAACTCGATCCAATGATGTTTGTTATTTTAATTAATTAAGAAAATAAGCTTTTTTTGTCTTCTGTTTTTAATATCTAGAAAACAAATTGCAATGAATTTACCATTACCAGTAACAAATGATCCATTTAAAAATTTTACTCAATTAATTTATTTAAGTCAAATAAATCAAGCCATGACATTAAAAAGTATAAGTGAAGTTTGTCGACTTCATTCATCAGTAGACATGATTAATCCAAAGACGAGTCAAGGGTAAATTTATTTATACACATTTATTCTTTTATATCTTGTTTTTTTTGAAAACTTTTTTTTTTGTTAGTCATACCATGGGTATAATGTATTGGCAAATAAATGACATGTGGCAAGCACCAACATGGTCAACAATTGAATATGGATTGAAATGGAAAATGGGTCATTATTATGCAGCTCATATGTATGCACCTGTTTATCCTATTACTACTCTGACACCTTATTTAGCAAATATAACAGATGAAAATGCTCAACTTTCAATTGATGTTGTTAATGAACTAATAAATGGTATTCATGGTGACTTAACATGTTGGATTCATACATTAGATACAATAATGACTCGTTTAACGTTTGGAGGTAGTATTTTGTTTAATTCATCTGGTATACAAAATTTTATGAATCTATCTTACCCATTATTAATGAAACGTGCTCATTGTGATAATAATAGTCAATGTATATTGCATTGTATATTCAATTCTGATCATTATCCAGTAGAACAAACTTTATTTTTAAGTCGACCAAAAAATTATCAACTTATGAATCCAAATCTTAATATTGAAAGTATTGAACAATTATCACCAACAGATTTTAATATTACATTAACAGTTGATCGACCAGCTTTATTTGTCTGGCTTGATATAACAGCTAATGTAACAGGTTATTTTTCACGAAATGGATTTCATATGTTCGAAACAAAAATGTCTATTAATTTTCATTCATGGATACCAATTATAAATTTTCATCAGGCTAACTTTGAGATACGTTACACATCATTGTTTGACGTCACATTACCATGATAATTTTTCTTTTTCGTTTCTTTCAAGAAGTGAATAAACTGTAGAGATCATCAAGAAAGAATTTCTCGTTTAAAGTTGTATTTTTTTTGATTGTTACCTTTACGAACTATTTAATTTTTTGTTGACCTTGATGAGCGTCTAATGAAAGTAGGTGTTAGAAAAAACATCTAAATGAAAACTATCGAAACTTTTTCAATTTTTCTCATAATTTTGCTAATCTAGATTTTTGTTCAATAATTATAGTAACAGTTGATACCTAATATGGATTAACTAAAAGAGTCCTATAAACAACTATTATACTACTAAAATTTCTTTTCCTATCGATGCAATTATTCAATCATCACTTATCTTAACGTAACCATAGTTCACCATAAGCTATGCACTTAATTTAATGCAAGTTTATAATTAAGACTGAAACAATTCAAAACTATTTCCATTCAGCATAGTATTAAGAAGTGGCACTGACTTCTTTATTATTTCTTGACTTATCTTTGAGGGTGGGTGTGGGTCTGTTTGAAGAGAATAGACACCCACACCCTGATATGTTAAACTTTTTCTTCATTCTCAATCAATTTCCTTCGATCCTATTTAACAATGAAAAACCATTTGCTTTTATATTTTGGTTATTTTTTTGTACAGTTTCCGATATGTTAAGAAGAAGAATGTATCCGATAAATAAATTCTTCGAGAATAAAACTCTTCGACTCTCAGTGAATTTTTGGTTATATATTATGGTGTCAACGAGCAAGTATTGAATCCTCATTTGAATTTGTATACATAATCATATAAATTCAGTCTATTAGTTCAAGTATTTTCTTGTCATCAAGTGTCAAGTTATTCATTGAAAATATGCATTGATGAACATAAAACATGAATTTTCTAAAGAACTTTCAATACATATTGAAGTAATATCTCATTGGGTAAGTCAAAAGGATGAAAATTAGATTGATGCATTTCTTATTCAAATAATACATTGTCCTCTAATCGAAAAATATGAATCACATACATATACTCATTGTTATTGTAGCTATCAACGAATAATAAAATGAATGCACTCCGTTAACAAAACCTAAAGCAGAAATGAATAATCCTTTCAAGTAGAATTTATTTATACAAATGAATTTAATACATCAAAATTTCACACTTTTAATAATATGACTAACTCATCGATATGTACAGTGCTCGCCATAATTCTTTCATTCCCTGAACTAGACCGATATTTCAAGCATTCTGTTTGAGATTTTGACTGCATATGAGTATTGATAAACCCTGATCATAAGCACCAACACGACATTAATTCAACGTATTAGAGCAATGTTGTACACCAAAGACTATCGTTATCTTGCAGCAACTGTATCTCAGTCATAGAACCACTTTTGAGATTGGAGGAGGGTGTGGGTGTGGGTGTGGGGTATGAGTGTGGATCTGAGAATCTCCTTGTTTACCAACACCCACATCCGACATCTACACCCTCAAGACGCTCTATCTTTTCATAAAAAAAGAAATTTTTTCCAAGCAGTCTATACGAAGCTAAGGTGCAGGACTCACTACTTTTGGTATGACCTAGGTAATACAGTGCATCATTAAAAAATTAATTTTATATTGATGCAAAATTTCAGAAGCTATCTGCTTGCACAATAATATAAGAATATATTGTTCATCAGATGGTTTTCTCTGTTCCCGTAGAGATTGAGCAATGTCATGCATACAGGTATTACAAGGAGAAAGAGAAGGATAATGGTTCGACCTAGGAGGATGACTCAGACCAATATGAAATTTAATTCTTCATTCATTTCTTCTGTAGCAAACTGTCAAATTTGCTTTTTGAAACACATATGTTATATCTTTATACGACAATTGATTCTACCTTCCATTATCATCTGTGATGCTATATATATATATATA